ACGGCGCCAAGTTTGATATAATTCAAATTACATAGAACTACTCTCTCAAATAAGAGATCAATTACAGTATTTTAGGATCGAATTCACGGAGTTCTTTTGTTCAAACAATGAGTTAAATGTCGAGATTAAGCTAGCAGGGTATCAGTGAAAATAAAAGAGAACAAAGTAAAAAGACAACAGATTGATTGTGTTGTAAACGATTTAATAAAGAGCTAGGAACAGGGTATTCTCAGGAAACTATTGGTTAGTAGATCTAATGAAAGCTAGGTTGTTATCAAACCATTCTTAAACTCAAACTCTAATTATAGAATAACCGATGGGTGTGCCGCGAAACTCCCTATATGTATAGCTAATAATAACCAGAGAAGCCGAGAAACTATCAACCTTAATATGCATTCTCAACGAGTTCAATTGTTCATCTTAGTAAATAGGCCGATTCTTATTACACACTTATAAACATAACTCATCAAATAATAGATCTAACTATAGATACCTATGGCTGGAATATCTATTGTCTGGATTCAAGATCTAGTTAATTACTCTAGATCTAGCATTAAGCATAATTAAAGATGAAGAATTCTATAGATAACCTAGCAAAGGGGGCAATCTACTAAACCATATGAATCCCTAATGAGAAACTTTATTCCTAACAAGTAGACTACTCAGACATATTGGATGAAGCAAACAACATATTTGAGTGTGAAAGCATAAACACAGTAAATAGAGAAGGGGAAAGAAGGGATCTCTTCACTGTATATCGATTTGAATGAAACTCTGAGAAAACAATCGATGAATAGCTTATGTCTCTCACAATAGAGTTTGCAAAGAACTTGATAAAAGACTTGATAAAAGAAACTTAGGTCTAAAAACAATATATATAGACCCTAAAAACGTCCAGAGACTAATAATGCAAATAGGGAAGTCTTCTAGGGCAAATTTGATCTTCTATAAACTTGAAAGCGTCTAGGGTTTTTGCAGGGCCGAAACTAGTGTCGATCGATACCAAGAGTGTGTCAATCGACACTCCTCGCTGATTCCTGAACCAAAATCGTCCTTAGCTTCCTTTTTCTTAGCTTTTGCTCCAAAATGTCTCCTTATCTCCATTGTTGTCCCATTGCATAGAATACCTGAAAAGACACTAAAAACACTCGAGAAATAACATAAAAACTCAAAATCTTATACCTAAAACATAGATAAAAGCAGTGCAAATCAGTTTATATCAGTGTCCTTTAACTCTTGATTTCTCCATGGAAAACCTAAAAAAAACATAGTAAAAGTGGGCAAAAATACAATGTTATCACTAGGCAGTCAAGATGTGTATATAAGCAACTAAGTCAAGCTAGATGTGTAATGAAGGTGGGTTTCTAGTAACAATCCGAAATCAAGTTTCAAACTATAAAAATGTGAACTAAAGTGCCCTAATCGATCATAGGGTCGAGTAGAACCAAGCATGCAACATATTCAAGTACTAACAGGTAACTCAAAAGGATGAAAGTAAATAAGAGGTGAATGAAATGCAATAAAAGGGTGAAGGCAAATAAGCAAATAAATCTAAGAAGAATAGAAGTCCTAAGGATGGATTCATTGATATGGGCATATCTAGGGTCTATAAGGTGGCTAACAGACGAAAGACAAATACCTCATAACTTTACCACTTCCTAATCTCAACTCTCGTTAATGAAACATAGCAAAGCAGGCATTAAGCAACAATCTATTAAAGTTAATAAGCAGTTTAAACATCCAATCTCTTGGGCTAGAATATACAAATCTCTGGAATTAGTAGAACAAGCATTCCATTCATCTTTTGGATGCTGGAATACCTTGGAGAGAATTCTAATTGATCAGAAAGAAATAAGGATTAGGCCCAACTAATCCAAAAGGGATCTAACCTAACCTTAACCACCTGACAAACCTCGAATTTACCCTAATCTAATCCATCCTCAATAACCGTAATCACCACTCTAGCAACATAATCAAGAACACAAACCTAGAAATTACTCTAAACATATCAAAATGTAGATCTAAACAAGATAAACAACTTAAGAGTACGAGTAATTAAGGTTCAAAGATTCTAAAACACAAAGAAAAACTAGAGGATAAAAGCTTGGTCCTTTGGACAAACCCCAAAGTGACCTATTTATAATAAAATCCCGAAAACCCTAAATTCACTAGAAGACAAGAGACTTGAGGCAGTTTGGATGAATGCTCGACCCTTGGGGATTGAGTGATAGGGTGCCACAAAGATTGCGCCTTTGCCTTTATGATTCGAGTGATTAATTGGTCGAGTAGTTGCTTCTTCCTCTCCTCTTCTTATGCTCAGCTGTTTGGTTGAGTGGGGAATGAGGAGGATCTAAAGACTCTTTGATTGCTCAACAAGTCAGGTGGAATCTGTTGGCCTTGATCAAGTGACAGGTAGAGTAGAGGATCGAGTAGAGGGTCGAGTGATTGTCTACTGCTTCCTCTATAGCTGCTTTGATAGAGTAACTGGTCGAGTAGCTGCTCTGCTGCTTCCCTTCTGGTAATGATAGAGTAGTGGGTTGAGTAAACTGCTTTGACACCTGAAAACACACCAAAACATGCAATAAGTATGCAGACTGATCTCGTGATTTCTTGTAGCGCAAGATCGTTGGAACCATCATCAACGCTGAAATGGAAGTGATGGTGATGGCGCTGAAGGAACCCTTTGGTGTGACCAAGAACAACACTGTGTTGGTAGGTGACAAGTCTAACTCTTATGCTGTTTTCTTCTTGCTGTGCCACCTCTAGAGCTACAAGGCATGTGATATGTCTATAATTTGCATATTTTCAGTGTTCATTCATCATCGTTTTGAGTCCAGTTTATATCATTCATCACTATTTTATATCATTTCTTATCATTCTTGCATACTTTGCATGATTAGGATGGCTTTGCATACATATTGCATTTCTGAGTTGTTTTCAGGTGATTTGACCTGTTTGCGAGCAAATTAGAAGAAGCGAGCCGGAACAAGAAGACATACTCGACCCCCTGGTCAAGTATCATCACTCACCACCAACACCATCACTCGACCAAGCACTCGATCACATCTTCATAGTCTACTCAAATCCGCACTCAACCAGACAAGCTAAGCACAAGGAAGAGAAGAGGAGAAGAAGAAGTGTTTGGAAGCGGCCTGGAGCTCCACCGGATCACAAAGCCCATCTCGGCCCATTATCACTCTATGGGCCGGGCGATTAGGTAACTGGCCCGTCTACTATCATTTTATTTCGTTTTTTATAAATAGGTGTCTGAGGGTTTTGTCCTGGGACATCTAGTCGACATTGAGTTTTTGCTTCAGTTTTATTTTCTGTTTTACTCTGGCTGCGCCGCTGTTGCTTCTGCAACCTGTAATTCGAGATTTTTCCAAGTTATTCAGATTCCGCATTTGATTTTACGTGTCATCTTGTTTCTCTACTCTTTATCTCTTTACTTATGCAATATACTTGTTTACCTGCGTTTATGTCTTTGAGCATGTTGTCTCAGTAGTGACATAGAGTTCTTAAGGATGGGATAGAATGGTTGTGGAATCCTTAGTCTGTAGAATGGTTAAGTTTTAGAATTGATTGAATCCCTTCAGGACTAGTTGTGTTTACTGCTTATTTCTTTCTGATCAACTGGAATTCGATCCAAAGCATTCCCGTACCCAGAAGGTGTTCGATGGAATGCTTGATCTACTAGTTCCTGAGATATTCGTTTCTATCCCAAGGGATTGGCCGTTTAGAGCGTTTATTGACTTTATCAGTCTGTTCTTATTGCCTGCATAGTTAGATTCCGTTAATGGGAATTAGTCTGGGCTAGCTTTGCTTGAGGATTTCTATCACGGGTGTGAATTGATCTTTTGTTGAACCTGTTGTCTAGGGATAGCTTGATTGCGCTTGTTAACCTTTCGAATAGGCTAGGATACCACTCTATTCGATTTCCCCATCCTTAGGAATTTCTCGTCTATCTGATTTCTCTGTTTTATTGTTATCGCTTAATCGTTCTTATTGCATGTTTCTTAGATTTTGCAATTATTGGACCAACTTATTCGACCACACCCAGTGTCTGGCAACAGACTGTGCAGTCGAGTACAATTGTCTCATTTTCTGCCAGTTACTCGACCACATCCTGCCTCTGGCATCAGCCAGTTGTAGTCGAGTGATTTTAGTAATACTGATACTATTTCTGTTTTCTGCATGTTCGCTTAGGGCTGTTAGAAACCTCAAAACCGTTATTGCTTGGCTTGACTTAGTGACTTCTGATCACATCTCATCTGTTTGCATCACAACTGATTGGATTGACACCTAAAATACTACAACGACATGATTGGTGTTTTAGGATAATTGACTAAAAACCTATAATCAATTTGGCGTCGTTGCCAATTGGGTGTTTGTTTGCTATATTTGAGATTTCAGAATATTTAAGATCAAGTTCTTTTTCATTTTACTGAAAATTACTAACTTTGTGTTTTTTTCTGTTTGTTTGTTTTGATTTAGGTACTGCGAATCACCAGCTTCACCAGTTGGTACTCGTTGTATGCAAACACGGTCACAAGGAAACCAAAATTTCCTATTCAACGATAACATCGACCGTATTGCTCGCCAACTCAGAACACAGACAGAAACAAACACAATGGATGCAGTTGTAGATGAGCAAGTGCAACCAAACAACATTGGTGCACACGATACACCACGCAACCACAATCAGCGTAATGGCATCGTGCCTCCACCAGTGCAGAACAACCACTTTGAGATCAAGAGCGGTCTCATTGCCATGGTTCAGAGCAACAAGTTTCATGGCCTCCCTATGGAGGATCCACTCGATCACCTGGACGAGTTTGATAGGCTTTGCAGCCTAACAAAGATCAATGGAGTTAGTGAGGATGTCTTTTGGAGAGAAAGCGCATCAGTGGGAAAAGTCGCTTCCTCAAGGCTCTATCACCTCCTCGAATGACTACAACAAAGCCTTCTTGGCTAAGTTTTTCTCAAACTCCAGGGCTGCGAGACTACGGAATGATATTTCCGGTTTTACACAGACAAATAATGAGACTTTCTAAGAAGCATGGGAGCGCTTTAAAAGTTATCAGACGCACTGTCCTCATCATGGTTTCTCCGAAGCTTCACTTCTCAGAACTCTCTACAGAGGTATCCTTCCCAAGATAAGGATGCTTCTTGATACCACTTCTAACGGGAACTTCCTCAACAAAGACGTTGAAGAAGGATGGGAGCTGGTAGAGAACTTGGCTCAGTCGGATGGCAACTACAATGAGGATTATGAAAGAAGCATCCGCACCAGCTCTGATTCTGATGAGAATCACTGCAGGGAAATGAAAGTATGAATGACAAACTGGACAAGCTACTCCTTGTGCAACAGAAGCACGTTCATTTTTTGGGTGATGATGAGACGTTCCAAGTCCAGGATGGGGAGACTCTGCAGTCAGAAGAAGTCAACTATGTGCAAAACCAAGAAGGTTACAACAAAGGTTTCAACAACTTCAAGTAGAACCATCCCAATCTGTCTTACCGAAGTACAAATGTTGCAAACCCGCAGGACCAAGTCTACACTTCACAACAGCAGAATCAACCCAAACCCTTCGTTCTATACAATCAGGGTCAGGGGTATGTTCCTAAGCAGCAATATCAAGGTAACTATCCACAGCAACTTCCACCACCTGGGTTCACGCAGCAACAAAACCAACAACCTTCACAACCTCCAGATTCAGAGTTGAAGAACATGTTACACCAGATTCTCCAGGGACAAGCAACAGGAGCAATGGATCTCGCCAAAAAAATGGTAGAAATTCACAACAAGGTTGATTGCACTTTCAACGATCTCAACATTAAACTTGAGGCACTTACCTGTAAGTTCCGATACAGGGAGGGACAAACAGGGTCAACCTCTGCTCCAAAAGTAACAGGACTTCCAGGGAAGTCAATCCAAACCCCGAAGGAATTCACCACCGCTCACGCAATCACTATCTGCCATGATCGAGAGCTGCCAACTCGACATGTCTCCAACGCAATCATTGTGGACAGTGATGTTCAGGAAGGGGAGGCTTGTACTCAGATTGAAATTTTAGTTGTTGGACTCGACCATTCAGCTGAATCCTGTTTTCAAATTCACTCTAACTTAGACGAGAAAGCAGCCATCATTGATAGGATGGTAAAACGATTCAAGCCAGCACCATTACCTTCACGTGCTCTTCCATGGAAATTCAGGAAAGCATGGATAGAAAGATACAATTCTCTTGCAGAGAAACAGCTTGATGAGATGCAAGCGGTGATGCTTCTAATAAAAGTTCTCAACCTGATCCCGGATCCTCACAAAGATGTGAGAAATTCAATTCTGGAAAGGATCAAGATGTATCAAGATTCAGAAGACGAATGTGATGCTAATCCGTCTAGAGTAACTGTTAAGAGGAGCGTTCAAGAAAAACTAGAAGATCCTGGATCTTTCACTCTACCATGTTCCATTGGGCAATTGGTTTTCAGCAATTGTCTATGTGATTTGGGAGCTTCAGTAAGCTTAATGCCACTCTCCGTGGCAAGGAAGCTGGAATTCACTCAGTACAGGCCTTGCGACCTGAGTTTGATCCTTGCTGATAGGTCTTCAAGAAAACCCTTCGGCCTGCTAAAACATCTGCCATTAATGATTAATGGAGTGGAAGTGCCTACGGATTTTGTTGTGCTTGAGATGGAAGTAGAACCTAAGGATCCTCTAATCCTAGGGAGACCTTTCTTAGCCTCAGTGGGAGCGATGATAGATGTCAAAGACGGGAGAATAAGTCTCAACCTTGGGAAGTACATCAAGCTGTAGTTTGACATCAACGAAACTTCGCAAAGGACAACTGTAGAAGAAAATATCAGGGCTCAACCTCAGCCTTCGAATTCAATCACCCGACAAAGCACAACCTTTACACGTGACTTGCGAGAACTCAAAAAGAAATCTGATGAGCAAGAAGAAACCATAGAGAAGCTAGCTCAGATAGTTGAGGAACTTAAGACTAAACTGGATCAGATGCGAGAGAAAGCTCAACCAAAATGCGGGATTGAAACTATCCCTAGAAAAAAGTTTACTTCAAGATGGTCTGAGGAGATAGATTATACACTAGAAGAGAAAGAGGCCTATTTCGAGGAAAGAAGAATTGAGTATTCTGTTACACATCTCTCAAGAGAGGATGCTGAATATGATGATGAGATCAGAGAGGACTATGCAGATCCTCTATCACCCATTTTCTTTTTAATGAAGTGTGAGGAGTAAACTAGAGACTTTAAACAAGCTCACTTGGGAGGAATTTCCAAGACTGTTCTTATAAATAAAACTTTTATTTTCTTGTTATTTTTTTGATTTGTTTATGGTTATGTTTGTGATTCTCAGGAACAGAGAAACAGCGTGGAGGTAGAGTAAAAATTCAAAAAATTTACTCTATAGAGCAACAGGGGATCGAGTATGTCAGTGTAGAGAAATTCAAGAATTTGAAAAAGTTCTGTTGCACTCAGAGACCATGAGATCGAGTAGGTTGGTCGAGTATTAGTGATGATTTTAAAACCCAAAATTTTGAAATGATATTTATACTCGACCAACAGAAGCTACAGAGACTTACAGTGAGTTTATCAAGTTTACAAAGGATTACAGAAGGTTCTAGTCAAAAGGGAACAACGCTTCAGGACAAACAGACAGAGCGTGGCCCACCACCTCTCCGTTTTGTTCCCCCATGCGTTTCTAAGGATAAGAAAATCCCTTCCCTCCTTCTCAACCACTCGACCGAGTCTCTAGCTTCGACCTCTTAACAACTCGACCGCTCCTTTGCTGCCGCCAACAAACCGCCGCTGTTTTCCAGTGAAGACTACTCAACCTCGTCGGATAGACCGGAAACACTCGACCACAATCCGCCTAGAAATAAAAGCCCGAAGCCACAATTTCACACGGCCGGTACTCGACGGGTATACTTGACCGGTTTACTTGGCTGGGTTAGTGTTTGGGTTTATTGGAACTAACTTATTGATATTTAGCTTTGAGTTGCATCTGTTTTCAGGAAGTATCATGAGTAACTACAGTGACGAATCCTCTATGGATGCGGATTACAACGTTGATGAAGCTGAGTCTTGGTCAACTAGACCTGAGAAAGAGCAACATGCTTATGAGAGCTTCAGAGTTGACACCCAACGCTCAGTAGCTCGACCCAATGAGAGGAGAGCTGAGATTGCTAAAGGAAAGAGAGCAATGACAAGTAGATATGAATTGATTGATGAAGATATTGACGTCGAGTATGAGCCTGAGTCATGGCACAGAGAGACGAAGCTGTTGAACAGGTATGATGAAGTTATAGTTGAGGAGTACATCAGACTTTTCGAGCTGAACGACTTCTGGAGAACGAGATATCCATGTTATCAGACTTTAGCCCAGCTGGGGCTACTGGAGGACGTACAACACTTATTTGAAAAGTGTCATTTGGAGACATTAATGTCTTACTAGTACGTCGCCTACAAGAAGGAAACAATAGAGTTTCTCTCCACTCTACAAGTGGAGATGTATCAGGGACTTACAGCAGATGAGTTGGAGATGAAGGGTTGGGGTTCTTGACTTTTTCACTGAGCGAGCAGCGCTACAAGTTATCTATCAGGAGCCTGGAAGGACAATTTGGTTTCCCTAGTGGAAAGGGAACTAAACCCAAATTCGAGATGGAAGAGTTGAAGGATTTGTGGTTAACTATTGGGAATGATATGGCCCTCAACTCTGTGAGGTCCAAGAGCAACCAAATTTGAAGCCATGTGATCCTCTACTATCAACGCTCTGTAGCGAATGTTCTGTACTCCAGGGAATCTATAGGCACCGTGTCTAACACAGACATGGAGATGATAGATTCTGCACTCAAGGGCATTCTCCGCAGAACAAATGGGAAGAAGTTCCTGAAGGGCGACCTCAATGATGCACCACCGGTTATGCTTCTGTTGATCCACCTGTGTGGATACAGGAAGTGGGCGCACACCAACGGGAAGAAGAGGGCGCGAGGAGCCCTTTGTGTAGGTGGTGTTGTGACACCAATTCTGATAGCCTGTGGTGTACCTCTCACGTCCCCAGGGTTCGATCCGAGGATGATGGACTTAGATCACTTGCGTCGTTGTGAGTTTCTGGAGCACGACATGGTCGACGATTTCTATCACTACAAATTCGAGCACTCCTTGACCCGAACAGCCAACATTCTGCTTCCCTGCACTGAAGCCACAACCATACTCCATGGCGAAAACATTGACTTCAAGCCTGAGCGTGATTATCTGTACTTTGAGAGCGCTCCACCGACTGATGACAACGTCCCTACAACAGAACCTACAGGGGATGAGATTGCTGAGACAGATGAGGATAGGGAGGAGGAGTATGATACAAGCATGTATCATTTCAGTGAGCATGTACCTCCAGCGTGGGAGAGCAAGAGCTTGAGCGAAGCTCAAAGAAACAACAGCAAGTTGCAGAAGTGGTGCAAGAAACAAGATAGCCTACTCATCAAGTGCTTCAAGGCCATCAAGTTTCTGACAGACAAGCTAAGCTGCTCCTCTTCCACCACAGCTATTCCGCAGGGACAACCTCCTCAGGACATGCCCTTGAGGAGATATGACGCGCCAAAGCAAAGCCAAGTCACCACAGGCCTGAGCCTAGTGACCGAGTAGTCTCACAAGTCCCTGCGAGGCATTCATCATTCGAGCCTTGGGAGTTCGGGAGAAAGAAAAAGGCTGCACTAGCTCGGTCTAGCAGCAAGAGTACACGACTTCTCCAGTCTCGAAGCTTACGCGACCGCGATGCTGGCCGCAGAAGAAGAAGAGAGGTCGAGTATCATCAGAGCGGTGCTGGCCGCGACGAAGGAGCAGAGGTCGAGTACCCCCATGGCGGAGCTGAGACACAACAAGGAGATTCTTCAATGGCCTGGGAGCAATTACTGGCAGCTATTGACGACCAACTCCGCTCCTTTTTCTACTGATGTAAGCACATCACTTCACCATTGTATTATACAATCTCCTGTTTCTATTTTGTTTCTGCGATGTGTTTTGTCCTGAGTACTCTCTTCCAAGTTTGGTCACACAGTGGACTGTGTGATTTAAATTTGGGGAAGGGCT